GTAGTCGGAACATTCAGGGCTTCGCCCTGTTACGAGCAGTCTTGTTTGGTTTCTTGATGCATCGATTTACTGATATAGCATCAGAACTATGATGACGAGTCCCTGTAACGTAGCCAGATCCTTCATACGATAATCGACTGAGCGTCACGGAGTTTTAATTCAAGCTACCATGAAAATACAAGCCCAAATATGATTTCAAACAATTTATGGGGTTTTATCTTTTTTTTATTTCCAGTATCTTTGGTTAAAGGTTGTTTTTAACTCTAAAGGTTGTTTTTGAAGCTTCTAATGATGTTGACGCCCGGCTTATTAATGTAAAATCACCCACTGACTCCTGTTTTATGTTTTTAGTATTTTGAGTCTGTTTTGGACTTTTTTGGACTATTTTTGACAACGTTATATTGCGATGTTCTATCTCTGGTTGCGCAGTTCTATGCTTCTCTCGGTAGTTTTGTCTCGGCTAAAAGATGCAAGTAACTTTTGATTTTTTTCTAAAGGAGAAATTTCTTTTTTCTAGTTCAAATTTTTACAAAAATTGTATTTGCGAATTAAAGTCGAGTGAATAATAATGCTGAAAACTTTGATCCTGTGAGAGCGGAAATTTTTTTAAAAGACACCAAATCGTTAATTATCTGATGAGATACAAAGCTTTTTGGACGGATGCCTAAATCTATGATTTAAATTGCCAAGTAACCATTTATAGTATAGCTTCACAATTGTATAAATCATTCCATGTTTGAATTTGTTTTCCTTCAGCATTCGTATTAAGTTTCTTTTTTCAAGATAACTAATTCCTAATGAAAACAAAGCATTTTCTTTGAGTAATGTAAAATTATACTCTAAAAATATATATTTTATGGTATATTCAAAGTTTTGATAATCAAGGGAATTAATGATTAGGGTAAATTTTGAATTTTTGACAAAGATATCAATCTTTATTTTTTTAGGTTGACTAATTTGATTGTCCGAGTTATCTCAAAGCACTAAAAAGACCCTGTTTTGGCCAAGTTTTCTCCGCCGCAGAAAATTTTTGGAAAAAACATGCCAAAAGAGGCGTTTTTAGGCCCTTTTCGGAATATTTTGACCAAAAAAAAAGCACTTTTGGCGCGCAATTTCCGCTCAAAGTTAGTAAAAATTGGCGTCGAATACGCCTTTAAAAACATTTTAAGTTTTGGGAGCCAAAAATGAATATCTCAAAATAGTACAAAGAGGCCCGTTGGGTCGGCAGGGGTCAAATCCCTGAAGAGGCAGAGCGGTGTGAAAGCCAACCCCCCTAAATCCACCCTTAATCCGCCCCTTTAAACGGGGAATCACTCGCACCTTCAGGATTTTCAACCTGTATCTGGTTACCCTTAATTCTATATAATTCAACGCTGCCCGCACTGACAAAAATGGTTTTGGATCGATTTTAATTGATTTTAAATCAATGTTAACTCAATTCAAATTGTTAACCAATGTACATTTTGTGAAAAAATCGAGAAAAGAGTCACCAAAATTTAAATTTTGAGCACAAAAACATGAAAAGAAATCATTGAATTTATCATTTTAAATCAAAACTTTGAGCAAAAACCTTTATAACAAATCAAAAAAATGACCGGTATAGATCAATCTTTGAGCTCAAATATTCAGGGAAATCGTAAATTGTTATTATTGTTTTTAAAGCTTTTAGGTCTTTTTTATGCTACCATACACTACAGATGTAAAATGAAGAATGATGGGCGATGAAAAAATACAACACAAACTCGAAACTGATTAAACTTGAATAAAAAATTGACTTCATTTGATTTAAATCCTTTTTAATACCCCTAAAGTTGAAAACAAGTTAAGAGATTAAAAAAAGTTTTTAAATCGATTTGAAATCGATTTGAATCATTTATTAGCTGGGATTAAATATCAATTTAAACCGATTTAAAATTGATCCAAAACATTATGAACCTTTTCTATTTGATATTCGTTTTCTTATATATAATACAATTGATTTGAATTAAGTCTAAATACTTTTTTCATACTAAAATCAATCCTAGTCCATTTTTGTCAGAGCGGCTGGGCTATTGTTTAACTACCGCATGTTATTCATGTCAGTATTTTTTAGATGTTAATCT